CATCTTCCAAGACAGCTTGTTTCAGCTGCATAGGATGTGAGGATTTGAGCAACAAGTAAGGCACTGGAGAAACACATCAATACCCCTAACTAAGAGGGATTGTGTTTTTATACAAAAGCCTTGCAAAACTCCAGCTGAGGTAGAGTCCTTTATTGAATTGCCCAGTTAGCCTGTGATCAAACATGTGGGATTGAGATTGCATTCCTCACCTGACATTTATCTATTTATCTTCACAGCAACAAAGAAAGGGAAAGGAAAAAAAGAGACACAAAACAGTCAGACAGACTTTAACAAAGCAGACAGGAATGGCTGCAAGCTGATAGATGACTTGTCACATGTTGTTACTAGGAACTGCAGCAGTCAGCCTCAAGAGATGCTCCAAGTTCTCTCACAAGTTATAGAAGTGGAAAAGGGGGTGACAGTATGATCATAGTCACAAAATTACAAGCTGCTGCAGATTCACATGGTGGGAAGCTCTTTATATCACACACTTTATTATATCCAGGCTTTTCATAGCATTCAAACAAATGTAATGTGACTTTTGTTTCTGCTATTAATTGTTGGTGCTGTTAAACCGTTTAATCCCTTCCTTGTTAATATAAGGGAATTATAGGTGAGGTGCGAAAGTAAATTACACAACATATCACTTTGAATGAGTCCCTTCTTCCTTATAAGTTACTGTGAACAACCTGTATGGGAGCTCAATATCCCTAAAGTTACAGCTACATGATGGCCCAGAGCCAATTTAAATCAGCAATGCAATGTGATGTTTAATCAGTTACACTTGATAGAGATCTGTCAAATAATTAAATACTTTAAACTTCTGGTATTCACACAAAAAAAAACAAAACAAAAAAAACAAAAAAATCAGTAAAACAAGAGGACAGTCCCCAGGCTGTAACACTGAAATGAAAAAGTTGCTAGATAAAAAAAAAAAAAAAAAAAAAATCCCAATGGGCATTGCATCCTTGTGAATTATAAGCCCTGAGAGAGTAAAGCTCCATTTGAACAAAATCGAGTTAATTAAGTATGATGATTGAAAGCAGCAGCGGTCCTCTCAGACCAAAGACAAGATAAATGCTAAACCCACATTTATTGGTAGCGTTAATTAGTAAATATGTCCGGATGATTCTGCTGTTACACTGAGCCTAATACCAATCTCCTGGTTTGTAAAACAATCACAACAAATTTATTCTTGAACCAAAATGAGAAACCAGAGAATAAACCAAACCAAATCAGTGTAGGTTAGTGTGTCTTTTAATCCATGTATCATGCATTCTGCCCTTTCTGGGCTTTTTGTTGTGGTTCTTTTTTTGAGTTTTTTAGTTACGGTCTGATTTATGTCACTCTTGTTTTCTGGGTAATTGGTTTCATTTCAATTTTGTGTCATTTTTGTTGTTTTCTGTTTTTCTTATTTATTTTTTGTTTACTCTCTGTTGCCTCTGTGTTAGTCCTTTCACCTAAGTCCCTTCTAGACCCTTCTGTCCACACCTGCACCCAATCAGTTAATTACTCCATTATTTGTTCTGTTTGGTATTTATAATCCTCCTCTGCAGATACTTTTTGCTGGATTCTCTTAATTATTTCATTCTTTCCTAACATATGTGCTCCCCTTTGTTCTGGTTCCTGTTTGTTTTTATTTCAGAATTTATGCTTCTGTTGCCACCACTCATTAAATATGCAAGACACCACCTCAGCTTCTGTCTCTGCATTTGAGTCCACTAAACTTCCACACAACCTGACACATTCATTTATTTTTCAATATGAAACCAACAATGAAAACTGCAGAACATTAGTTTTTTCTTTCAAATTTCGTATAATAAAATAATATTTTTTATTTTCAACATTTACCTACTGCATTAAATCTGAAGAAAACAGATAACAAGCATTCAAGCACTCTAAGGGCAGCAAGAGGTGAGGTTATAATTGGAGAGTTTAAACATAATTGCTAATAAGAAAAAATGGATAAATGAAAAAACAAGCATATTCGTTCTCTTTTTAAACCTTCTTTGGGCTCTAGGGTAATAGAGGCACCAGCAGTAGTCCTGACAGGAGAATTGCAAAGGCACTCCAGTAAAACCTTTCAACAGCAGTTTAGAAACTATTCTTATTCTTATTTTTATTATCCTATTATTCTGGAAATTATAGCTGTAACCATTATAGTGGCAGCTCAAAAAAAAAAAAAAAAAAAAAAAATAAAAGATCAACAAATGAAAGGTACTGGCTATTTTTTCTAAAATAAATGCTTCAGAGAGGACTGTTTTGGAGATTAAAATTCAGTGACTTGAAGTTAATGTGAAGGTTAATATGGGGCACAATAATAATACAACTTTGCCTGCGATCCTGAATGGCGGAAGCCAATTGAATGTGGAATTTGATATGTGGCACAGTGATAATTCAACCCTGAATATCACTCCATAACGTTACACCCAGCTCAACTACTTCACCAGCAAGCACAACGCTGAAAATAAAACCACCCCTTTATTTTAGGGATTATTTTAGAGGCAAGGCCAAACCATTTAGGAAGATAAATCACTGTAAGATCTCGGTTAATACATACAATAAAAAAAAGCCCCCATTTCCCCTGGGAAACGGAGACCTCTAAAGAAAGTTTCCACATCAAGTGATAGGATTGTGAGCTGGGTATAATGGAATCCCTGTTCAAAACAGATTTGCTTGGATGATTTTTGCTGATGATAGAATGACCGGTCACTACACCTGCAACTGGCATTTTGGGATTCCAGGAGACACTGCTTTAATTAGTCTTTTCCTTCTTTTAAAAACAAAGTATAGTAAGTGACCTCTGGGAGATCAAGCTACCATTGACCTAACATCTGGAATAGGAAATGGATATAAGGTTCAGGAAGAGGTTTAGCTATGTGTTGCTGCTTAAAACACTTGTAACAATAAGACATACATTAATTTCACTTCATGGTACGGTCTTGGCTTTGTTATTACACTAAATGTAGAATTATTTGGGATTGGGTCTGTCTGAATTTATCAAAGTTTGATGTTAAGATTTTCATGTTTATGCATGAGAGAGATAGAGAGCGCGATGAAGATGACAAACCTTGAGTGGAGATGTGCACTTGAACTGTGTGAGTACAAATAGGGGATTTTACAGCTCTTAAAAGGTTTGTAGGTGAATTTTAAGAAAGCCATTTTAATTTAGCCCTAGAAGGCAAGGCAAGGCAAGTTTATTTGTAGGTATTGACTCACCTGAGAGGGCTTAAAATTCTTCATTTATAGATTGTGTTCAGCCAAGTGGCTCAGCATTCCACACTTTTTATATGAAGCTACCAGTTGCATAATATCTTATGGCGAGTCGCACTGCCAACACATGGTTCCAGGATCTGGCATATATAAGCCAATCCGGCCCTTGAAAACCTGTATCACTTATATAAGTAATTGTCTTAGTGATCCTAAGGATCTTCTCGCAATCTGCACTCTGATTTTTATAATATATTTTTTTTTATTTAGCCTCATATATCAATTATACAAGAAACAAGTGAATGGCAGGATAAAACCAACACAGAGTAGTAAATTAGTTTACTAGTCTTAATTAGGAGTATTTTTTTTCTTATTCTTACTCTTGTCAACTGTATTTTACTGGCACTTGACTTTTTTCTGTCGTTAACAGGAGGGTGTGTAAACTTTCAAGCACAACTTTCGTCAAGTTCTGCATAAACTTGTGATCGATAATAGTAGTTAAACCAGATATTAAATAAAAAAACACATGAAACATAGAAATAGCCCATCTTTATTTGAGGACCATTGGCCTTCATTAGAAGCTTCTCTTATTTGTTGTTTGTAGTGCCCCATCTGGCAATATGGCAATAGGAATTGTTATCTTAATGCCAGAAAGGGCCCAACATAATTACTCTCACAAGTCGAGCATTATCGCTTTTGGCATAGTTTTCTGCTTGACTTATTTATTTAAGTGTAAATAGTTTTATTATGATTTATGTAGGGAATAATTCCTGTTATGTGGACGCTACATTGAAAAAGTAGAAAAAAGGGAGAAAAGGTGAAAGAAAGAGGAGACAGAAAAGAGAGATTGACAAAATTTCCAAAAAACCCTAACAATTCATTAGGTCTAATTTCTGTTTCATCACCTGCAAAGAGAGATTTAAAAAGAACAGCCCAACCAACTGATATAGAACTACAGATACAATACAGCAACACCTTGATACCATCACAGAAATATAAACAGTATTAATCAATACGAAATGTATGAAAATGCAGCTGAAGATAAAAATTACTTAGTATGCATGAAACCAGATCCAAGCACCTGTAGGTGTTTGTGTGTGTAAGGTTTATCCATGGGGAAAATGCTTATCAATGGGTTATAGAAGCTTCTGCAATGTGACTAACGGATTGATTTGAGATTATGTCTCAAGTTTTACAGAAATTCTAGAAAGTCCAGGGGTCCGTTTAACAAAGCAGTTTTACCGAAAAATCTAAGTTGTCTTAACCTGAAAACAGGGAAACTCTGACTTTTCCGGTTCACAAAGACAGTTTATTCAACCTCTGTTCAGTCACTGTAGTAACATCTGGAAAGGCTCCTATTGAAAGTGTTAAAGGGAAAGACCAGGCTTGGGAACGAATTTCTGTCCTGCATTTTTTCATGTACACTGGCCCATTTATGTTGGGGCCAGTCCTTGCATGCTGAAATTAGGACCAGCAAACCAGGTGTGACCAGCAGAGGAGGTAGATCTTTTTAGGCAAGACGCACCAGAGCACGGAGTAGTCTCCAATGATTTATTAACAAATTTCATTAAAACATTTTTCTTTTAAAACATGGCCTCGGGCCCACTACTCAGCCCCTAGAAGGAAAAGGCATCAAAAATGAGGACAATTTAAATTATTCCCAAAAAAATGAATGAACAAACAAATCATGCAATGCAAAAGAAAACAAATTAGTAAATCAAAACAAAGGAAAGCAAACAAATTAGTAATTTAAATAATAAGCAAACAAACGGCAAAGAAAAGAACACAACCACTGCAAACGATGGGACAAACTGTCGTTGTCCGACTTCTAATGTCTTTTCACGGGGCCAGAGGAGTCGTGCCCCGCTCGTTCCGCCAGCCCAAGCGTCAGCAGGCTCCGCCGAGAGCGGCCCAAACAAAACCGGCAAGACAGACAAGACAGCAGGAGCGTCCAAGCGCTGCAACTCCGGAAGAATCCTAAATTAGAAAACTCGTTAACGGTGGATTCAGGTAAGAGTAAATTAAATTCTAAACCGGTAGCTTACCCAGATGTGGTGACACAGCCGACCAGGGAGGGAGCGGATCAGCAGGCGAGGGCCGGACGGAAGCCGCTCGCCGCACCAACCTCCAACTGCAGCCGCCAACGCCAGCCGCGCAACGCTGCAGAAACGCACGGCAGGTATTGCACCAGAACCCGACAACAATCCCCAGCCCAGATGGCAAAATGGCACTTACTATTTTGGATGAGTGGATCGAGCACACCAGCCACTTGGGCAGCCGACACACGGTAAGGAAACAAAGCACACGCACCTCGCAGCGGACTGCTCAGCTTTAAAGCTATCTGCCCCGCCCCCCAATCAGTCACTACACCTGGTGTGTGTAGTTGGGAGGGTGGAACACCATCCCACCACACAGGGAAATGCCCGGTATCACAGGTTACCAGTCCAAGCCTGGGAGGGACATTTAGCACAATTCTTCTAAATAAATTACCAAGTGACACCTGTTTCCCATGTCAAGCTTTAAGTCAACTAAAGAAGCAGTAGCACCTGTGACATATTACATTCCTGATTTGTTTTAAAACATGAGGGTGGTTCTCTTAAATGCAGAGAAAGTTTGCAGGCTACAAAGAAAAGCTAACCGAGACACCTCGTCTGACCCAGTGGCTGTTCACCAGAGCTCCGCCACAGGTCCTCTAAGAGGTTGTCCAGCCTGCCCCAGCTGTGCTCTCCAGAGAGCAGCAGTGTTTCTCACGCCCTCCAAGCTGAACCTAGTGTAGATACCTAGTGCGGTCCCCAGTCAAAAGATATGGGAGGTTGGCCAGCTGAGTGTTTGTTGACTTTTTGACAGTAATGAGGCGCTTGAGGCCACTTGGGGGGCTAGACGTGAAAGTTACAGGTCTATTAGACCTAGTGAAAATTAAAAATAAAAACAATGCACATCCTTTAGACAAGGATAAAATAAAAAATGAGCACCATTAAATCAGAGTATTAAATATTTATATGGATATATTAAATATTCATATGGATATGGAGTATTTTACTTATATGGATGAATATTAAACATGTCCTTTCATATTCAGGTATCTTATCAGCACTACCATTTCACCTTACAATCCATCACATACATCTACGATCTCATCCATCCTCACATTAGCAGCACTGACTTATTTAACGGGTACTTAAGTATAGGTATATATAAGTATAATTATATTTATTTATGGTGAGCACTCATTGATGCATTATAAAAAAAATGATTGCAGAGTCAGGCAGCCACTTATTTACTGTGTAAATGGAATGTAGAAATGAAATTAAGGGGAACAATAGGAGAAAAATTAATAGTTTTAAACCTTATTCATGTCCTGATGGGTTTCAGATATTTTGCCCACATGCATATTCAACTCAGAGACGGATGAAAAGTTTAACAGTTTATTGAAATGTGACACTCAGAGATTCTCAGCTTGGGGAATATCCAGCGGTCAGGTGAACCGGAACCGCAAACACTAGAGGGAGATCAGAGTGATGAGTTCTAGGTCCATGGGAATTTTCAGGCCAATACTAAAATTAAGCCAGGGAAGGGCTCACTGTAGATGACTTGTGGTTGCTCCTTGGTTCCTGTTTGTGGGGACTGTACAGATAAGGAGATACTTGCCTGGAGGGCCGACAGGCAGACTTGTAGTGGTCCAGAGGAGCAGCGGAGCAGACTGTCAACAAGCTTTCCTGAAGTGGACTGCAAACTGAAGTGGTGAATGATTTCCTTAATCTCAGAGAGACGAATAATTCCTTGAAGGACTAGGCTTATCCAGTAAATCAGGAAATAATCCTGCCGGAGACCACAAAGGAGAACAAAGGGTTAGAACCTTGGACTACTCAAAAGGTTAGACTCAGCTCATCTCAGAGAGGCTAGAGTACCCAATATTGGCAACCACTGTGGCGTCGAGGAGGTGACAGTCCGCTGCTCATATACTCCTCAGGTAATGACCAAACGAGTCACAGGTGTGGGTGATAAACCAGAAGAGGCCCTCCAGGCCAGCAGGGTAAAAGGGCACCATCTAGTGGATGGGTGGAGACAGTAAAAGAAAAAACACAAAAAACATCTCCCACAAACAGAAACCCTAACAATTCATTAGGTCTAAGAAGATAAGCCTTTGTCATTTAAATGTAATCTTAAAAATGTCAATCATTTTTATTTGCATTATCTCCAATTGCTTGAATTAATAATTTCGAACTTCTCCCATTAAATCTGTCTGGGGAAAGAAGGTATATTCAATGTCCACCTACCAAAATTTGGTTTTAACCAATCATGGTAACATAATGTAGCAGCAGATGCCAAGAAAAAACACAATATCTTATGCTTAAAGGCTCCTCTTATTCCTTTTTCAACTATGAAATTGTGGGTTCAAACAAAACAGACGTGATTGCAGCAGTTACTGCTGACAGGTTAATATCGGTTCGGCTCTAGGCTTAGTAGGTGTCCCTTTACCACGAACCATAAAACTTTTATGTTACTGGCTGACCTGGGTTGGGTCGGTCTTGAAAGATTCGAGACAGATTTTTATGTGTTTGTGATTGCACAAATACTGCAAGAATTCAGCCTGCACCCAAGGTTACTGTGCATTTTAAAATAGCATATTTCCTTTGGATTGATTTATTTATTGATTTAAGTCTCAGGAAGATTAAATGTGCCACTTACCCATTTAAAATGCTTTCATTGATTACAGTAATTAGGCATTTAAACAGTGAGTATTACTCATTTTAAATTAATAAATCACAAACGCCAATGGCTTGTATGGTGATTCATGAAATCGTCACCAAATGTCTGAGACCACTTACTAATTCAGTCCAAACATGCCATGCAGCGTTGATAGTTGACAGGCAGTGAGATGAGGGATTATGATGAGCATTTCATGGCATAGCAGCACAGTGAATATTTCTACGAATGTAGGGTTGAAGGGTCATCCATCTTTCTGTGTCGACAGACAGACAAATAGGCTGACACTCTCCTGTGACTAGCTGTCATATATATCTATCTCATCATTATTGAGCTGCTGGAGACCAGCACCCCATCAGCCCGTGTCACGCTATCAGCATTTTCATTCATCCACTGTGCGTGGGATCAGACGTAACATAGGAGAGAGCCTCCCCTCTCTATGTGGGGAATAATAATAAGAAATTTAGAAATTAACTCACTTTGACAAATTGAATATTTATTGTTTCTTTGCACTTTAAGGTTAATCTTGGTGAGGTAAAAACAAATTAGATATTACTTTTTTTTACCTCTAAATGTAAGAATGGACCCCAAATGAAATCCTGTTGTGCATTCACTTCACAAAACTCAGAACTTCTTTTAGCCAATATAACATTGCTGAACTGAAATTAATTATTAAATATTGCTTGAAAAATGCAAACAAGTAAAAAATAGAAATAATAGCGACTGCTTAACAATAATAACGACTGCTTTTTCCCAAAAAAATCAAATTGTATTGTAAATGTATTTTCTGTTTAATGAGGAACATTCTTAGAACTACATCACTAAGGTGGCACACACTGATAAATATAATATAAATATAATATCAAAGCATCCATTAAATTAGATAAGTAAGTGCTGTGATAGGAAGAAAAAATTAATAAAAGGCTCAAAGATGATAGAAGCAATCGAAACAACTGCGATTAAAGGAAAGGAGCCACATTACTTTGCCAAAGTGGGTCCTTAGTAAGTAATTAATGTGGAATTATTGGGATCTTGAGACATTTGATTTCACGCTGGCTCATTATTGCCAGTGAGTGTTCATCGATAAATTAATAAATTCTTGAAAAAAAAGAGAAAACATTAGTTAACAAATAGTTAACATTAAAACATGTTACATACATTTATTGAATTCTTGCATAGACCTAAAAAAAACAAAAAACTTTACCTTTAAAAGTTGGTTTGAAAATAAATACCAAGACACCCTAAAGCTTGAGGCTGAGGGTATTCTGCTATATTTTGCTCAGTGGAAGTGGGGGTGGTGATCGTGCCAGTCTCCAGGGTTGAGCAGGCAAGAAGCGAGATACATCCAGGACAGGTTCCTAATCCATCATAGGGATAGTGCAAATACATATGAGAAAAATGAGCATTCAGGCACATAGATCTAGGGGCAATTTAGAATCCCTAATTATCTTATTATTAATGGATTGGTCTATAGAAGGAAACTAAATCCTTAAATGAATCATATGAATGCACATGTAGAATATACCCTCTCTTCATATAAACCATCATACATTAATCTATCATAGATAGATTAGTTAACCTTAATTTAAATACACTAATGTTAATACAACAAACAATCTCACAATGCATTAAATTAGTATGAACAGTAAATACTTTTCCATGGAATAATCTTTAAATTCTCTGATACTCAAGATTTATTTATATAAATAAATACCTATTTAAGAAGATTGTATGACACCCAAACTACAACATTTGAAAATGTCTGGTGGCACCAGACAAGTGTGCCCACTTTCTTTTAGACTTTCTGCAATATTTACTGAAGCTCTATCATTATCAGGCAAAACAAAGATAGTAGGCAGTCAATTCAAAAATGTTGAGATGGACAAAAGCCTTTATGCTAGTTGTATGTTCTCCAGAACTCATGTCTTATCCTCTCCCGCTTCATTTTTTTTATGTTTGCATTTTTATGTACATAATACCTTATAAGGAAGAAAAATATAAATCATCATAAAGGGTTGGGTGTCAAGGGAGAATTAATAGCTATGGTTGGGTAAATATGGCTGAGTAATAATCAAATTAAATTTTAAACAAGTGTTAAGAGTTTTGACAAAGATCTCAGTTACTTTATTGAAAATTTATTTCAATACTTCTGTCCAAGTTTAGCTTACAGTAGGTAGAGTCTGGATATCTTAATTTAAGTTTGCCTTTAATGAAGAATGACTCAGATTTAGTCAAACTTTCTTGGACTACAATAGTCAAAAAATATCACAATCCAAGAAATTACCACATGTACTGTAACTATTTCAGTTATAACACCAACAGTGAGATATGCTCCTTGTAACAGGTTAAAATAAAAAATATATATATTATTCACAATGGTAGCTCTGATTGATCACACCCTCTTAATACAACAAAGCAACAAAAGTTTTTTGTTGTATTAAGAGGGTATAAGAGGGTATAACATTAGAGGGTATAACATTAGTTGAAGTTGGTGGCACACCACCAACTTCAACTAATGTTAAAATGTCCAGGTCTATGCAAAGTGTCTTAGGAACAGTAAGGGCATGACTCCAGCTGTTTTGTAGGAGAGCTGAAATCAAATTGAGGGGGTTAAGTAAATTAACTCTTCTCTAGAAATCAATACGTTTCTTGCATATACGTGTCAGGGATGATGAAAGGATCAGTTCAGTGTAACA